ACTGTGTAAGGAATTTGCAAATATCACGAAGAGCAAACTTGAAATGAGCATGATGAGGGAATTGAACTTTCTCCTTGGTAGCAAACCAAAGCCGGCGCTTCATATTCCAAGAAAAATATGCCAGAGAATTGGTAAAGAAGTTTGGGATGGAAAGTTGCAAGAAAGTGATAGACCAATGACACCATCAACTAAACTAGACAATGATGAGAAAGGTATTTTCTTGATATATTCTCACTATCTTACATAAATTATCATGTTTTCTATAAGAAAATGCAGGTAGTAAAAAAATCCATCCATGCAAAAGTTTGACGATGTTTCAAGAACAGAATCAGCAGCAGCAAATTTCGCTGATATCAGCAACTGTCTCTGATAATAGCAAATTTCACAAACAGCAGCTTATGCTCATGTTTAGCCTTCAGACTGCATCACTTTCAAAGGTTTGAAAATTTTGCTCTATGCATTCAAATCACAAGCTGTTAGAGTCATATCAAAATATTTTGAATGATATGAGCAAGTCCTTAAAAGCTCCTTATAAAAGATTGAGTAATTTCTTGGTTGAAATGTTTGATATGCTTATTAATATTCTTACTTATTCGAAAATAAGGGCACATGATATATGATTTGGGATGTTATATATTTAATGTCTTTTGTGCAAGAATTTATTGAGTTCATGCAAATTGAAATTGAGACAAGCTTGATTGAAGAACTCGAATCTTGTTTTCGAATTTCAAAGGCAAAGATCATGAGGATGATGCTGTTACAAGTAGAAGCAAAACTTTCTATTGAGCACCTCAAAGAAATGATATCGGCACTAAAAGTGGAGACATCAGCATAGAAATCGTAACAGCAACAATGAAAGATGGGACAGTAGCTGACGCAGAAGATGTTTTGAAATTGTGAAAATTTCCGAACCCTGATGAAAGCTATTCGCAAAGAAGTATCATGTTGATAGGGGGAGGAAAACAAAAGGATGAAGAGCAATAAGAGGAAAAATGCAAAAGAAAAGGGAAAATCATGATCATATCAAAAAAGTAATACACGAGGAAGAGCAAAGATCAAATATGGGCAAATCTTGATGAACTTGAGCCGAATGCAGCCCAGATCTTGATTATCATTTTAAGGATAGAAGAAAAGGTGAATGCATGTGTAGAACCTACTATGTTTTACATAGTACGATTAGTCCATCTTCAATATCTCTTACTTTTGGTCATTATGTTGATATTGATTATATCCTTGATAATATTAATGATCATGAAGTAAGATAAATGTTCATGACATGTGTAAATAATGATGATATTCTCTGTATGCTAATAATGATTGCAAAAATTCACCCCCCTCTAGGTTGCTGGCACCCGAAATTGGGCATAGGCGAAAATGAAAAAAAAAAGGAAAAAAAGGAAAAGAAAAAAGAAGAAGAGAAAGATTAGAAAAGAAAAGAAAAAAATAAATAGATAATTCAAAAAAATGACAAAGCTATCTACGTTGGCACCAGCTGTCCTAAGTGCTAGCACCTACGTCAACGAATTCAGGCCAAAACTGGCTAGAATGACTACATTGACAAATCATTAAAAAATTTATGATTAAATTAACACAATTGAAAGGTTTATGATTGAATTGACCGTCGTACTTGGGGTAATCGTTTCCCAATCAAATCCAATCCCACTCAAGAACCGGGAACCGGACCAGAAGGACCAGTTCCCAATTTCTAGAATCGAGAATCAGACCACCTAGTCCTGGAACCAGATATGATCTAGTTCCTGGGTGGTCCAATGAAAATGGTTGCATATTTTGGAACCCTCGAGGTGCTTGTGAAAATTCCTCAAAGCCAATGCATGTGAAGCTTTTCAGATCTAAATTGCTAGATCCATTCGTAGAACCATCAATAGATCAACCGACTACGATTCAACCAAGGATTTGAGTAAACAAAATAGGAAAGAGGGACGATATATACAATTATAGTCAGCACATCTCAATTTCACAAGCTCCCAAGTAGCAAAAACAACGAATAATACCACAGATGGTGAAAACCACAACGAGATCCAACACACAAAATGATCCAATCTCACATCAAATAACCAGATAGATGAATCGAGACTCATGAAAAATAAACATATATCGCTCATGACAAGCAAAACAAAAAAGGAGCTCAGAGAAATGGAAGCTTTACCTAAACTACGAACGATGAGGCTCAAGAAGGAGAAGGATGGAGAGATAGAGTGACTGAGAGCAAATGAAGAGGGACCGCTCTTGTGAGCTGAGTTCGAGTGATTAGGGTGAGATCCGAGAGGGAAAGAGTGAGTGTGAGAGGCGTGAGAGGGGGAAGAGCGATTGGGGTTTAAAGATTTTTAAGAAATAAAAATAAAATAATTGGTCTGGTCTGGGCGGTCTTGGTGGGCAGTTCCACCCCAGGAATCGGGAAACGAACCGAAAATCACCAGTTCCAATTCTATGGAACCGGGAACTAGACTGATGCCCCCAAAAAATCGCCAAGAACCGGCTGGTTTGATCCGGTCCGAGCAGTTCCTATTACTCAATCCTACACCGTACAATAAATTTAGGGCTTTTCAAATAATTTTCTCATAAAATCTCAAAGTGAATTCTTTAACCCGATACCTCCAATGTCACAAAGTCAATTTTCAGTCCAAATTCTACCTGCCTTTTTCCAACAACTTGCATTATCTCCTTATCTAAATGTTCGAACGGCTTCCATCACGATTAAAAGTCTTTGACATCAGCTTTTGCAGTATCTTCCAAAATCTTTCCCCATCATCATGAAAAGCATCATCTACTTCAAAATCGTCTAAGATTTCAACAGTTGATCTCCATATCTATCTTCCAAAAATCTTGTCTCCATCGTCATGACAACCATGTCTAATTCGAAATCGTCTTAAGTTTTCTAAAGGAAATTTTGAACACAAAATCTTCTTTTCGCTTATCGCCAGGACGATACATGTCGGATTTACCTCAATTTGTTTATTTCTCCATGGTTGAAAAGTTAAATTTATATTTGATATTCTCCCTATATATTTTCTTCAGTCCAGCTCCATTTGCTTTTCCCAGAAATCGAACTTTATTAGCATAGTAAAATAGAAAACGTACATGATCTTGCAAGATATAAATCAAGGACTCGGCAATATCCTTAAAGTCCTCGCAAATATAACACTGAACACGAACAAATCTGTCCAATCTCTCGTACGTTTCACGAGCATTCTCTTTTTCTTCTTCTTTTCCTTTCTTTTTTTTTTAGACTGGGGTAGTCATTGATTTCTTCGCAAGAGCGAAGACAGCAACCTCTCGAAACAGGACAGTAAATATCACGCATGTTCTGTGGCGATCGGCAGTCGACGCAGCCTGGGATTTGGACGTCACGCATGTTATGTTTCCTCTTCTCTTCTCTGGTTCTGATATCTTGGCCATGCAAGTTGTTTATGTTGACCCATCTGAAAACTCCCTTCCTCCCTAAGTTGTTCATGTTTAAATTATGGTCAATCTCTTCATCATTGCTTTCTTATTCCCAAAGATATCCTGCCCTAGAATGTTGCGTCTAGTCTTGTTCTTGGATCGTGTTTAGAGAGAGAGAGAGAGAGAGAGAGAGAGAGAGAACTTGATGCCAAAGAAAAGCAGCCCAAATATAAATTTTTCATGTGAAGACAAAGGTTCCAACTCCACTATGTTTAATCAACCGATTCTTTTGTAGCCAGCTTTGACCTAAAAATAGCTTTTACATGTGTTTTGGTCACGAATGGCATCATAAGCAAGGCACACCAGTCATTCTCTAGCTGAAACGAATCTGACAATAGAAGTCAGATTGATTTTATATTCACTAATGTATGTGGCTTTTCTTGGCTCTATGATATTTACGTGGGGAAGTTGAAAACCCATTTGGCCAGAAGAGTCTAGCTCAGCTCTTATAATTTAATAAAGAGTAAAGATGCACAAGTTGAAAGCCCTCCCAAGATTGCGAGGGTTGAGGTGTCATAAAGAAAATACGCGAGCGCGATGATTCAAACTTAGGTATCGAGTGAGGAAAATGATCATATTTGTATATGATAAACATATTCCCTTGAGTTCGCCATCGTACATATTCCTCTGGCAATTACCTAATCAAAGACGCTGAAAGGCATAATGATTTTGATTCATTCTCTAAGTTTTATAATCAATATCTGTTTTGACTTTAAAATTTATCCTCCATGTCTCACTGCCCCATCCTCTCTTTCTGCTCCCTCCCTCCCTCTCCTTTGCCTAGTCGACCGCCAGCTCTTCACCGTTGTAGCTTGCCCCCAGCATCTCCACGAACCTTGCAGTCGACCTCCAACCGCGATGATGCTATGGTGCCTCCTCCACCTCCCTTAGATATCTCTATCTCTCTATAACACGGCGACAATGCATCTGTTCGAAGTCGACATCGGTCATCAACCTCGAAAAATGCAGCCACGCCCTCAAAAAACCCGGGCATAGTACCCATGCACCCTCTCGAGACGTGACCAAGCCAAATCAAAGCCGAATTGTGTAAACGCGGATGGGCAACTCCAAAATGGAACTGCAATAATATCAATGAGGGTCGGGTAATTTTAATCGCAAAAAACATGAAAATTTAGAGAGTGAAAAACCTTTCCAGGATATCATCGGCGAAAATTTAACAAAGCAAAATGAAACTTTAGGGACTTCTAGTCCAAGTTTTCCTTCTACTTCACCGTCGAATTAATAAAAATAAAAAATAATGAAAAAGACGAAGGTTCTTGGAATGATTTCCGGAGCCCTTTTTTGGAACGACAGAGTGTACATAATGGGGGAAATCAATGGGAATGGGGATGCGTGTGGTCCGCTCTAATTCTGCGACAAACATCAACGGTCCCACGATCCAACAGAAGGTTTGATGGATTCATTCCTGAACTTGTATGCTTGTACAAAAAAGAAAAAAAATATACAATGAATGATTTCATTTCATGAATATTACGAGATGGAATCAATTCTTATTTTCAACTAAATGAGGGTTTGCATTGTTTTTTAACTTAAACCCAATCGAATATAATTGTTTTATTGTATGTTAATATTATAGTTTATTAGACTAAATCTCACATAATAGCTGCTCCATCCTCCTCTTTGTTATATATTAGTGAGGCCAAAGCAAGTACTAACATGGTTATTCACTCATTTGTAACTCTCTCTCTCTCTCTCTCTCTCTCTCTCTCTCTCTCTCTCTCTCTGCGACTTGAGAAGATGTGCAAAGAGCACGACAGAGAAGCTCTCTCTCTCTCTCTTTCTCTCTCTCTCTCTCGGACATGAGAAGGTGTGCGAAGAGCACGATGGAGAAGCAGGGCACGTGCATTACCGACTCATACCGTACGTATATGGAGAGAACCAAGAAATTGGGTGAACCATGAGTCATGAACCCTGAAGGCTGTTTATATCTTTGGCGGCTCCATGTGTAGTGAACCATGGGTGGGTTCTTCATGTGCCCTTCTTCCCCATCGTGACCAGGCCACCTCTAAATTCATCCATGAAAGCTTCTCTTAGCATTACCTCCGGCATGCCTGGTGAGTTGTGTATCCTTCCTCTCTCTCTCTCTTCCCCCCTCCGCCCCCCCCTCCTTCGCATCACATATACACAAAGAGATGTATACGTATAATGTATGTACGAGGAATTGGGATATTCATCTACACAATCAGTATAGCAAGGTATGAATGACCCGCTTTTGACTTGATTAGAGAGATGGATATCTAATTCATTCTGATGTGTGAAAGCTGGGCATATGGCATCTATGGATAAAAAATGAAGCATAAAAAATGAAGTCTTAGACTAATTTGTAGCCATCAATCTACTGTAGATTTCATGTTTGACAAAAGCATACTATGCAATAGTGCAAGTAAATGATCAACTTGTGTATTATGTATGTTTCTTCAAGTAGGTATTATATTGAACGAATTGTTGATTAACTATGAGATGTTCAAAGGATTAAGCTATCAAAAGCAGCGAAGGTTCTTAGACTGGAGAAGGTCTTCAATTCTTTTTTTCTTGGGGGGGTTTGGAATTAGGATTTATCAGTAGGAAATCTCAAAATGTTGCTGCCCTTTCTGTCTCTTGTACTCCATTCTTCAATGGATTGGTGTATTTTATACATCCTTTCTCATATATAGAACCAGAAAGTAGCCATTTTCAGCACTTGTAATGCTCTCCTTGCTCACGGAATATTTAACTGAGCAAAACACTTATTACATTCTGCACTGGACCAAAAGAATGATTGCATGAGATTTTTCCTGTAGTGTCCACTTAGTACACCTTTTCTTCTCAGGTCTTATTTTTAATTTATATGAGTCTTAGTTTATTTTATTTTATTTTAGTATGAATCCATGGTTTTGGATAGATTGGACCGTGGCAAATAAAGAGTAGTATATGCAGCACTTTCGTGCCATATACAGCGAAAAGATGTGGGGGGCAGGGCAATTCAGCGCTTGAAGCGGCCATAACATGCGTGTTCAAGCTTCAAGAAGTTGCTGATACATGTGTTGTTTGTTATGGGCTTGCTTCGCCAAGAAATGGTTTCTTATCGTGATATCAGAGCACGAATTCCTTTACAATGTTTCTGTCTCCGGCTACTTTGTTCATATGGCTATATACCACGATCTACACTTCCCGTGTAAATCCCGTCTTAGGTACTGGAACAAATGTTGCCAAGCATGTATACTTGAAATACACGATTCATTTCTTTCCTTTCTTTAAGACTTTGTTCTTTACTTCAATAAATGCTAATGCCCTTGAGGAATTAATGGGGAAAATTAGAGTCATTATCATCCCAAAATTTAGAAATTGAAAGCCCCTCCAATGTCTAGGCTGACCTAACTTTGTTTCTTCCTTTAGGGGCATCCATTATTATAATTTGCCTCTAAACATGGTTGGCAACGTACCCCATGAACATTGGAATAGATTAAAATCAAGAAACAACCACACTGTGCTTGCTACGTATCAGATGCCTTATAGTGGGCACTCTAGATAGGTTGTAACCAAGATCGTCCAAGTTTCTTATCAAAGTGGATCCAAAGATTGAATATCAAAATGGATGCTTTTCAAAGTGGAGTGCTTAAGAGAGAGCATTATCATTTCTATTTAGGCTATCTCTCTGGCATTCTATTGAACAATCTTTCTTGGTATACATAGACGAGACCGTTTTGTAACACCCGGAAGGATTAGTTGAGCCGAAAGTTCGGATATCCCGCTTTTGAGAAATCGGGATTGTCACATAGAAAAAGCGTAAGTGCGAACATCTCATTGAGATGCCAATAATGTATGATTGTTTTGAGAATGTCGGTGGCTACATATGTGAAGTCATCACGGTGGATGATAGAAGGGGGACCGATTGACTTTTCTTTACAGCTAGAGAATTCATATAAAAACTAATGGGGTCTTCTTGCAGAATTGGTACCAACCGACCAACGTTTGTATATCAAGAAAACTACCATCTCACTTGCACAAATATAGAAAACTTGAGAAGGGCGTTAAATCGATCCTTCACTCGTGATTCTTAATAATATGTCAGTGATATGCGGCAACAGATCCGATGTATAAGGACATTGACATTTTGCCTAAGAGATTCAAGTTCAATTCTGCACTCTTCCCTTTGCATATTCAATTTCAATTCACTCATTCGTACTGCCTTCGCATGCTTTAGGCAGTTGTCGCCCTAGGCAATAGCCTTGCAGGAGACGACACACTGGAATAGATCGCTTGATGCCATCGAATTCCAATGGTTCCTTTACCCACACGGCGCATGTCAGCATTCGTGTCCTTCACGCTTTCGTCCTCCCATTAGCTTCACGTTGGAGGAAGTATTAAGATAAAAAACATCCGCATACGTACATATCACGAACAATATCGAGTGAAATACGTATGACTAAATCGGTCAAACGATAACAAGTTTAGGAAGCTTTGAGAACAAGGAAGGTGTCAGGTGATGACAAATTAGCAGTCTCAAGTGTACAATATATGTATATCGCACTGACTTCGTCTACAAGAGTACAAGAAGGGACCTGCATGTAAGACGTGGAAAATAACCTCTAAAATCTAATTAAATGTATGCTCCAACAACCTGATTACATCCACTTACCACCTACATTAATACAAACGTCAACGATATCTCTAACATTGCATTCACATTCCAAGACATGATACACTGTTATGCCTGACCGTCGTAGTCAGACTCAGAGTCATCAAGAATAAACTTATTGATACAAGCCACAATGTTTCATAACTAGCATAACTTATTTAATTATGTGCCCAACATTTAGAAAGATCGATCCAAGAAAGCACCCAGCAAAACCCCAATGGAATGACAGAGTTCAGGTGAATGATCTTTCAACTTTCAAGTATGAATTAGAAAGGCCCTTTCAATAGTAAAAGCGCAAAATGCAGTAGATATCCTTGATTTGATCCTCAGATAACTTATGAAGATTAAATCATCACCTTGATATTGTAGATAAACCACATTGCAGAGTACTCCGGGCATATAGAGAACATATCTGGTGTAAATTTTCCTTCCTGACATTCTGAACCTTGTATTCATCACCGCTGTGACCTGAGGAGTGACTTTATGAAGAGTGTAGAGACCGTTCAGAAGTAGTCTGATCACTCATCTTATAAATTTCATTACTAACGAGGATCGATGACAACTTGTTACCGTTTCCTGCAACCACATACATATTCTGCAAAATGAAGACCCAGAAAGTACAATTACAGAACAATTGGAATAAGTACTTTAATATTTTTGGATAGGAAATAAAGGATTTTGTCGAAATAAAAATTCAAGAACATCAGAAATGTACAAGGAAAGAAAGAAAGAAAGAAAAGCAATATACACAGGAAAACAACACAAGACTATGTGAAGTTAGACCAAGATGTCCAAAGCCGAATAAAAGAGTACAACGCAGAAGCAACCGAAGATTCTAAATCCTCAAGGAAAAATACTTCTATAGATAGGAGGTTGCTATAGGTACTACTTGCTGGGTGGAAGAAATGATGATGTAAAAAGATGGCAAACCGAGGTTTAAGAAAGGAAAGGACGATAAGTCAATGCAGGTAACAGAATTGCTAGTCTAATCACTAGAAAATGATGCTAAAATAAATCTGACATGTAGGCTTAATGCATTCATGATATTCGGAGTTCAGGAAGTGAGTGGTGGTTGCTTTTTTTCCACTATATACTGTATTAGATGGCTTAACTGCATTTAGAAACTCTTGCATAGATGTGTGAAACCTCTGAGAATATCTTAGTTCATCCATGAATTGAAAGGAATAACAATTCAAATCTGCAGAGTCAATAACTTGATATATAAGCCAGCAAATGTCAAATTTACGGATTATTTGACTATGATTATTCGTGGACTGAGCAACACTAGAAGTGGACAATGAAGCTTGAACCGAGAGCCTAGGTCTTAAAGCAAGTGGATCAACCTTAGGACTCTGATAGTTAATGGCCCTGATAATTCCTGAATGAACTTGGAATATAGCAGGAGATAATCATTTCGATGCAAGTTTGGCCAAGTAATTCGCCTCAGACTAATTCAACGATGCACCTAGGGGACCGGCGGACCCGTTATGCGACTAGACGAACTGACGGGCTCGAAGTCAACGATCTCAAATTGAGCTCAAATTTAGCCGGTTGAAGCGAAACGGCGTGCTGATCAATACTCACAGCCGTTGGCTGTGATTAACGATGGATTTTCGCGATTCGGGATCGTTTAGATGGGTTTTTCTATTATTTTAGTATTTTTTATAGGTTAATTTAGTAAATGGCAGTTTCGTATTTTTGCGTTTTGATGTTTATTAATCCTAATAGGGTTAGATTTGGGGATATATAAGCTTGTTTTAGGGTTTCGTTTGAGCAGACTTTGGATATTTTGATTGTTAATCGATTGAGAGAACAGTTTGTTCCTCGTTATCGTTTCGATTCTTCTGTTTAGCCTAATTTCTTTCGCGCTTCGGTATCAATTGGTATCAGAGCATAGGTTACCTAAATCAATGGCTGAACAGAATCGAGGTGGTCGAAGACAGCGTACTCGTGGAGGCCGGGGGCGTGGAGTCGTTCCTGATGCAGATGAATAGCCGCGTCTGAGAGACCTGCGAGATATAGAAATTCAAGAACAGAGAAGGCAAATCCAGGATTTGGAGCGACGTCTTGCGGAGGCAGGGCTTGACGCTCAATCCGAAGAAGAAATAGAATCTGAGGATCCATCCGATGATGAATAGGAGGACGTAAACCCTTTCGGGGTTCTGAACCAGGGGCGGAATCGAGGAGTACGACCTGGAAATTAGTGCTCTTCTCAAAATTTCGGGATGAAGATCGAGATTCCCGAGTTTAATGGTAAGGCTCATCCTGATGAGTTTATTGATTGGTTACATACGGTAAAACGGATTTTTGATCTTAAAGACCTAACTGAGGGGCAAAAAGTGAATTTAGTAGCTATTAGGCTGCGAAAACATGCTTCGATTTGGTGGGAACACGTGAAAAAGCAACGCGCTAGAGAGGGGAAGCCGAAGGTGGATCGCTAGGAGAAGATGAAAAACTTGTTGCAAAAATTTTTTTTGCCTACCCATTATAGGTAAGAGGCGTTTATCGAGTATCATAACGTCAAGCAAGGTGATAAAACAGTTGAGGAATTTACAGAGAAATTTGATCACTTGCGAATGCGTTGTGATGTGGCGGAGGAAGACGAGCAGACGATTGCTCGATATCTGGCAGGGCTGCGATATGAGATCTCTGATGTTGTCCAATTACAGCAGTATTGGACATATGAGGATGTGTGCAGATTAGCCCTAAAGGTGGAGGGGCAGTTTAAAAGAAAGAGCAGTAAGTCCAAGTGGTCTAGCAGCGGTTCTAAGTGGTTAGGCAGCAGTTCCAAGTGGTCAGATAAAGAGTCCCGAGAGAAGGCAGGGAGTTCTTTAGCCCCAGCGGCAGTTAAGGGCGCTGGTTCAAAATCTGCAACAAAAGGAGAGCAGGGTAGTGCTAGATCTAGTAGGGGAGGAGCTGCAGGCAAGTGATGTTTCAAGTGTCAAGGACTCGGATATTTTGCTGCTGATTGTCCGAACCGACAGTTTGTGACACTTGTAGATAATTCAACTTTCGATGAAGACCCAACTTATGATGAATCTGATGGAGAGCAAGAAGATGTGGATCCAGATCAGGAGGACATTGTCTATGCCGATTCTAGTGAGTTTTTAGTTGTGCGTCGGGTTTTAAATATTACTAAGGTAGATGATGAATCGTGGCTCAGGCATAATATCTTTCATACTAAGTGCACTAGTGGGGGAAAGGTGTGTAGTATGATAATTGACGGGGGAAGTTGCGAGAATGTGATATCTACCACTATGGTAGAAAAGTTAGGGTTGAAAACTGTTGAACATCCTCAACCATATAAGCTATCATGGCTTAGGAAGGGGAATGAGGTAAAAGTGAGCAAGAGGTGTTTAGTGCAGTTCTCGATTGGGAAGAAATATACTGATGAAGTGTGGGGTGACGTAGTTCCAATGGATACTTGTCATATTCTGTTAGGAAGACGTTGGCAGTTTGACAGAAAAACACAAAATGACGGATTCAAAAATACATATACCTTCAAGAAGGATAGTCGGACCATTACTCTGGGTCCTTCAGATTTGAGAAAAGAAGGGAAAAGTAATCTGCTTTCCAAATCAGAGTTCCAAGAGGAGGCGGTGAATGCCCCAGAGATTTTTGCTGTTGTAGTCATGGAGCAGAATCTTGATAGTCCAGAAATTTCAACTCAAGTTCTGCCTATACTTGAGGAGTTTGCTGATGTTGTACCAGAGAGTATTGTATAGATCTCGTTCCAGGAGCTGCTATTCCTAATAAGGCAGCTTACAGAATGAATCCTAAGGAGCATGAGGAGATGCAGAGGCAAGTGCAGGAACTATTAGAAAAGGGTGCAATTCGAGAGAGCATGAGCCCTTGTGCAGTGCCAGCTTTGTTGGTTCCTAAGAAAGACGGGTCGTGGAGAATGTGCGTGGATAGTAGAGCTGTCAACAAGATCACGATCAGGTATCGCTTTCCTATCCCGAGATTTGATGATTTAATTGATCAGCTGTATGGAGCGACTATCTTTTCAAAGATAAACTTGAGGAGTGGATATCATCAGATTAGGGTGTGTCCTGGAGATGAGTGGAAGACCGCTTTTAAAACTCGAGATGGTCCGTATGAGTCGATGGTGATGCCTTTTGGGTTATCTAACGCGCCGAGCACCTTTATGAGACCAATGAATTAGGTGTTTCGTCCTTTTATAGGCCAGTTTATCGTCGTATATTTCGATGATATTTTGGTTTATAGTGCATCGACTGATGAACACTTGCAGCATTTAAGAAGGGTATTCGAGACATTGAGGGAGCAAAAATTATATGCTAATACCAAGAAGTGTCACTTCCTGACTGATCGTGTGACTTTTTTGGGATATATAGTAACCAAGGAGGGCATTCAGATGGACCTAGCTAAAGTTGAGGCTATTACAAATTGGGAGATTCCGAAAAATATTCATGAGGTACGTAGCTTTCACGGGTTTGCGTCTTTTTATCGGAGATTTGTTCGGGATTTCAGTACTATAATTGCACCTCTGACGGATTGTCTGAAAGGAAGTAAATTTGTGTGGACTAAGGAGGCAGAAGCTGCCTTTCGATTATTAAAGAAGGTGACTGAAGCACCTGTTCTCGTGCTTCCTGACTTTAATGAGATTTTTGAGGTGCATTGTGATGCTTTAGGTGTTCGTATTGGGGGTGTCTTGAGTCAAAAATGTAAACCTGTAGCATTCTTTAGTGAGAAGTTGAATGAGGCGAAAAGGAAGTATTCAACTTATGATAAAGAATTTTATGCTATTGTGAGGAGTTTGGAGCATTGGAGGCACTATCTTATTTCGAAAGAGTTTATCTTATTTTCTGATCATGAAGCCTTGAAATACATCAATGGGCAGCACAAATTGAATGCAAGGCATGCGAAGTGGGTGGAGTTCCATCAAGTTTTCAGTTTTTCCATCAATCATAAAGCGGGAGTGCTAAATAGTGTGGCAGATGCATTGAGCAGAAAACACTCTTTGCTGTCTACAATACAGGTAAAAGTTCTAGGCTTTGATATTTTTAAAGATTTATATGTTGATGATCCTCATTTTGGAGATATCTGGAGGAAGAGCAAAACGGAGCCTTTTCAGCAATTTCAGATCGAGGGTTACCTATTTAAAGGTAACAGATTGTGCGTTCCTCAATGTTCTTTGAGGGAATCTATTATTATTAAAGGACATGCAGGCGGTTTAGCTAGGCACTTTGGCGTGGATAAGATGAAGGCCTTGTTGAGTGAACATTTTTATTGGCCTCGGATGGAGCGTGACGTGACGCGTTTTATAGAGAAGTGCAGGGTATGTCATGTGGTAAAGACCAAGAGTACTAATGCTGGACTGTATATACCTCTACTTGTTCTAGTTGCACCGTGGGAGGATGTCAGTCTTGACTTTGTCTAGGGTTTGCCAAGAACGCAGCGGAGTAAGGATTCAATAATGGTGGTTGTCGATAGGTTCTCGAAGATGGCCCACTTTGTCCTGTGTAACAAGTCCTATGATGCTTCACAAGTTGCTCGATTGTTTCTGCAGGAGATTGTTAAGCTGCATGGAATTCGTAAATCCATAACCTCACATCATGATGTGAAGTTTGTGAGTCACTTCTGGCGCACTCTTTGGAGGTGCATGGGCACAAGTTTGAAGTTTAGTTCCTCTCATCATCCTCAGACTGATGGTCAGATAGAAGTTGTCAATCGAAGCTTAGGGAATTTGCTGCGGAATTTGATTGGAGATAATCCGCGACAGTGGGACTTGGCATTGCCTCAGACAGAATTTACATATAACAGATCTGAGAACCGAACTACAGGCAAGCCTCCTTTTGAGGTGGTTTATGGGCGTAATCCAATTACTCTATTGGATCTCACACCGATACCAGTTCTCAAGCAATTTAGTTCGGAAGCTGAAGAACATGCAAAGCATATCAAAGAGCTGCATTCCCAGGTCCATAATCAGATCAACAGGCAGAACATGAAGTATAAGCAGCACGTGGATATACGTAGGAAAAGAGTCGTCTTCAAGGAAGGTGATCTAGTTTGGATTCACCTTAGGAAAGAACGATTTCCAGTAGGTAGGTTTGGCAAGCTTCAACCTAGAGCTGATGGACCCTTCAGAGCTTTGGAGCGAATTAGTGACAATGCTTACAAGATCGATTTGCCGGGTAAGTATAATGTATCCGGAACTTTTAATGTAGCAGATTTATCACCTTACTACACTGAAGAGGAAGAAGATCCTGAAGAGATTGACGACAATGAAGACGAAGCAGATTCGAGGACGAAGCAGATTCGAGGACGAATCTTTCTCTAGCAGGGGAGGATGATGCACCTAGGGGACCGGCGGACCAGTTATGCGACTAGACGAACCGACGGGCTCGAAGTCAACGATCTCGGATTGAGCTCAAATTTGGTCAGCTGAAGCGAAATGGCGTGCTGATCAATACTCACAGCCATTGGCTGTGACTAACGATGGATTTTCGAGATTCGAGGTCGTTTAGATGGGTTTTTCTATTATTTTAGTATTTTTTATGTGTTAATTTAGTAAAGGGCAGTTTCGTATTTTTGCGTTTTGATGTTTATTAATCCTAATAGGGTTAGGTTTGGGGATATATAAGCTTGTTTTAGGGTTTCGTTTGAGCAAACTTTGGATATTTTGATTGTTAATCGATTAAGAGAACAGTTTATTCCTCGTTATCGTTTCGATTCTTCTGTTTAGCCTAATTTCTTTCGCACTTCGGCATCAAATTCAAACCGATAAGATTATGAGAAATTTCACAATCTTTTCAAACTAGAAAATTTCAGGCATGTCAATGCATAACATGTTTTTAGTTCATAATATAGGTGATCTTATAAAGAAACCATAAAACTATTTGTCAAACTTTTCAATGATTGGTTGTTAAGCTCCAAATACCAACCCAAAAGCAGTGAAGGGTGCACTTCATCAATTCAATCCAAATACTACATCATGCCATGCAGAAGCAGATATGAATCTTAATAAGGAAAGACACATGCAAGTGAAAAATGCGAAAGGTATCGATGCAATTTCCACGAGCAAACACATTTTAACCATCAATTAAAATAGCAGATCAGCGGAAGTCAATTACCTCCTCAGTAGGTGGAAAGAGAGTTTCACACTGCCACGTTGTCCGCCAAATAGGCGTTCATCTAAAGGGTGCCATATCATCTACAGCTTGGCTTCTTCATGGATTCCAAATTTTCTACGTACCAGGTTTCCAACAAGGTCGCCATTCAGCAAAAGCAAGTGCACTTCATTTATCTCGTGTAGAATTTACCAACTCAAGTAGACTACTCTCCAGCGAATTGATTTCAGATCCGCAGTCATCAATAAGTGCTTCCCAAGTCATAGCTCCAGGAATAATACCCTTCCTGACAATCACCTCGAGTAAATCTGGCACTTTTGAGAACAACCTTCTCTTGCACAAACTACATAATATCTCATCAACTGTTATACATTCAAATTGTGAACTCTTAACCAACAATTCATCCACTAAATCACAAGCTTCAGTAATTTTACCATTGCCACTGAATCCCTCGAGCAGAAGCATATATATTTGCAACATTAGCCCGAAACTCTTCACTCCTATTTCTCTCACAAGCTGCCTTGCCCTATTCAGCTCCCCAACTTTACAAGATCTCTCAACTATCATGATGTAAGTAGCATCATTAGGCCTGCAGCCAAGTTCTTTCATACAAGCTACCATTTCAACAGCTGCTTCAAGTTTATTCTGCTTACACAAACCATCTATATACACGTTGTAGGTATACACATCAGGGACCAAACCCAGAACAAGCATTTCATCAAATAACTCCTCTGCCTTCTCATAATCCTCCTCAGCAATGACCCCACTTAAAACCATTGTGTAGCAAACAGTATCAGGTTTAATCCCACCAACCTTCATCTGATTCAAGACATCCAAAGCATCATTACCTCTTCTATTCTTCACCAAATACTTCATCACATTTGCATAATCTACTAGCCCAGGGGAAAAACCCATTTTCCTCAATTCTTCCAAAAGGCCCAAAACCTCAACACTAGAAAAGTTCCTCTGTCCACAGAATGACGATAGTATCAGCGAGCAGATTCTCCCATCAACTGTGAATCCATCACTCATCATTCTATTCAATATGTCGATAGCATAATTCACCTTCCTCAACTGACAAAGTGCACCAATCAATATTCTAAAAGTCGATTCATCTATCCTGATATTCATCTGCTGACTCTTCAGCAAAATCTGAGGCACCATCTTCAAGTGATCTCTGCTACAACAAAGTACTGACAGTAGAGCATTCAGTGAGCAGACAGAAGGGACACACCTGAACTTGGGTATATCGAGAAACAAACCAACAGCATCTTCAATTTTGTTACAATCACCATAAAACTCTATAAGATCGCTCAAAATGTACTCGGGAGTTTCAAATTTCTCGACGCTTCGAATGTGATCGAGGACTGGTGGAATCAGGTGGAACTGCAAGGTTTCGCATAGACTCTGGATGACGAAGTGGTAAGCATTTGGGGTTGGTTCACAGTTGTAAGCAATAAAGGAGTCTACCAGAGTGGTAACAAGATTGGGTTCAGCAGGATTTTGCAGTATATGTTGATTACCGCCGTGGCGCAATGGCTCTATGGTGGTCTTGACTGCGTCTTTTAGAGTTCGCATGGCTTGTTCTGCACGGAAAGTTTGGTGCCACTTGGTTTTGTACGGAGACAATGGCCGCTTCCTGTTCCTCCTCAAAAATTGGTTCGCACCCTTCAGAGAGGACAGCCTCCTCATATTGAAATCAGAAGCGAACGGCCACGGAACAAGGACTTTAGATATTCCCAAACTGTAGCTGCTCTACCAACATGAAGGCAGGAACTCCCCTGTTATTTCATTCAGGCATTCCGTCGAACAACAAGAAGGCAACTATTAGCTAACCACCAGCAAAGAACTGTGTACTTTATTTACTGCTTAATGGGTCAAACAATCTTGCTCATAAACCAAAAACAGTCAATCTATCTGCAACAATTCAAGATTGTATAGAGATCAACCGAAGCACGTTCATTTCAAGCGTCACTTAGACCATGACAACTGTTCAGGAAAAAAATTGCTCATAAAAACGAACGTTGTTATCAACCTGTGAATGGAAAGCTTCAAGAATGGACGACGACTGCTTTCATCAACATGGGTTCCGTCAGAAGCAATACCACCCCGCGTTGTTCTTATCCTGGATTCGTTCTTCGGACGAAAAGTGTGTCCATAGGATTGGGTTTCTAGTCTAGAGATCTTTGATTCGTAAGCCATCCTCTTGACATTTCTCATTTTTTCAAATAAAAGTCTAAATAAATCTTTAAAAAAAAACAGGCATGAAATGATTAAGGAATTGAGTAAATATATTTTTCATCATTATTTGAAAGACCAGGGATCGAGCCAACCCTCTTGCCTATAGTCGCCGCCCAATCGTCAGTGGGGCGTCGGCCCATCGACAATAGGGCAGCAGTCATAGGCGGAGAGCCTGGATTTTTTCTTTTTCTTTTATATGTGTCTTCTTGTTTTTAAAGTTTTGCCTTTTTTTCTTTTTTGAGTTTGTATTTTTTACTGAAAATATTTTGGATTTTTTAACCTAATGTAATTAAGATTTTGTGTAAAAATTAGGATTTAGATCAAAACGACTCTTTTTAGTGCTTTAATTAACATTAACGCCACGTAGGACGCCATGTGAGAGAAATAAATATAGAAAAAACCGCATCAGCATTTTCCATTAGTTAAATTGGACGAAGTTAGCAGAATGATTCGATTTTCAATGAGGGTCTGTAAGCTCTAACCGGGCCAAGTCCTCGCTAGCAGCAAGCAAGGCAATCCTCGCCCAGATCTGGCGAGGGCTACCCAGCACCGGCCACAAGCCCTTGCCAATGGCTTTCGAGGGCGGCCTCGCCCAGCCCTCTCTGGGTATCGCCGGTGGTCGACCATCGTCTGAGACTGGCCACTGGCGAAAAGGAAAGAAAAAACAGAAAAAGGAAAAAAGAAAGAAAATAAAAAAAAATCAAAAAAAGTAAAGGACGAAAATGCCATTAACCAGAAGGTGAGATTAAGCCCTTATTTGAGACTAACATAACCAATTCATGCCCTTATTTAAAACAAGATCAATTTCAGACTTCTTATTTGAAAAAATGAAAGCACTTCAAGCCTAAATGAGAAGATGAGAAGAAGAGCAAAGACACCGATTGATTTGTGCAGAATATTTACATCCAATCTATGTGAGTGTGAACACTATGGGTTTGGGTGTAATGTCGAGGTTGGGAAATACTCGAATGTGTGAACGATTATAATCGTATAACTTTCCAAGTTATAAGTAGATTATTGGCAGTTGACTCTCTTCGTGCTCGTAAGTTTCGACATTCGTACAAAATTACATAAATCTTTCACATCTATTATTATTCCTCGTTTCATTTCTCTGTCGATTTCTTCTCGCTCCTAATTTAATTGCAAAGATTCGATCGGCTTGTGCAACGATATTTTTCACAGCATCTTTCAAATCAGTTACATTGAGGAGGAAACAGAGGGCTCAAAACCAGGTGTTTTAACTGATGAGGCAGCATCATTGATCCATATAATTTAGAAAATCAACGTTTCAACCAAAAGAGAAAATAAAAAAAAAAGACCACGCTTTTTCCACTCCTCCTTTGGCTTAGAGACTCTTACTTTTTGTGTTTTGATCATATTATCCTTTATGGAGCCCACCATTTCTAGTACAAGTCTACAAAAGTAATCTTTTTTTATTATTTGGATATCGTTTCTTTTTTTTTCCTTGCGGGTTTCACTTTCCTTCTTCTTTTTTTCAGGCCTTTAACGTCTTAATTCTTCACTCTTGCAAATTGCATTTGGCCTCCATTGTCATCAAAGAAAATAGATTACCTTAATTCTCCTAAGATCAAACAACCAGATTAAACATATCATGTATCATTATTTCCAACAAGTCAATTAATGAGAAGCAATAATAGCGTCACAAAACTGATGATGAAGAACTTATGGAAATGATAATAAGAAATTGAACCCAAAGGAAGAAAAAGTTTATAAGACGTAAGTATGCTACAAACTACAAAGCAACTGTGTAATTGATTCACAAGCACTGTTTTGATGCACACTATGCTCTAAACGCAGAATTGAATCACAAAATCAAGAATTTCCACGACCCAAAAGTCAAATTCACTTTTAAGAAAAGATATCAAGAAATAGTCAATAGAAACTGGGATGAGCATGATTCGAGAACAAGAAAACTAGAAAGAAAAAAAAAACAAGCTTTCGCCAGAACCGTACCTCCGATAGCGAATGAGTGTGCGGATTGTTAAAGTAAGCAGTTTTTGGGGGATTGTAGATGCAGGATAGATTTACTGAAGAAGAAAGAGAAGGAGTGGCAGGCCTAAGAGAGTGGCTTGTCAAAGAGAAAATATAGAGACGATTTGCAAAAGTAAAGAATTGAGACGTCAGAGAGGTGGAAATAAAGAAGAAAAAGGAAAGTGGGACCACAAGAAAAAAGAAGAAGGACGAATAATTAAAAAAAATCACTCTTCTAGAGTTGTATAGTGATGGGCTCCACAAGGGATGTATGGTCAAAACATAAAGAAAATGAGTATTTAAACTAAAGGAGAAGTGGAAAAAACGCGACTCAAGAAAAAAGAAAAAAGGTGAAACAGACAAATTCGTTTAACTGTCCATGTCTTGTTGTTAATCATCCGCTCGTTGTTTCAAAACAATGGTGCTTATTCGTAAAATTAACGAACGAGCCTGCCTTGACCATCTTCATAGCTAGCATTTGCACCACAATGATCAACCCTTCTCATTTGCAACCCCCACCTCCTCCCTCTCCCGCCCTCCTCATCGACTCGCCATGGCTGGAACACCGCTCCAAACCCCGCTGCCGCCCCTTGCCACGGTGGTCGGGCCCCAATACAGCATCCCTTACCCGATTGATCTCGGGATGGTGAAGAAGCTCGTCACAATCACCGAGGGGAACTTTGCCATCTCTGACTCCGCCGGCAACGAGATCTTCAAGGTCAAGCACGTATTCAACTTGATCCACACGAAGCGCGCCCTCGTAGACGCGGTGGGGAACACGATCCTGACCTTCAAACAAAAGGTTCTTATCTTAAATTGGAATTTGTCACTTATCTTCACGAAGCAACCGATAAGAGAATTGAAACGCATTTCTTTTTCTGTCATGATATGGTATTGATCACCAACAAAACCTACTCATCACCCTCTCATGTCTAAAAAAAGAGTTACGAATTTCCCCCTCTAACGCTATTCCAGATTGGTGGTTCTTAAAGGATTCTCAAAATGAACAATCTTCTTCTTGCTCTACCTCTTTCTCCTTATGAGGTCAAAGGGGAAGGGGTTTATGTTGTCTCTGGTATGATCCTTCAATGAGGTCTATCGCATTTAAACAATAATAAGATGATAACGATGACAACAGTGATGCTCTAGATAGTCAGATGCCGAGACTGAGCTTTAGTTACAATATTATGATTCGACGTGTTTTCCGCATTTCGATCATGCTACCAGTGTCACTAGTATCTTTGATAAGTTTTTTTTCGAGTGTATTTGCTATAATTTATATCTTGATTAAACCCTCTTACTTAGGCGCCAAACATTTCGTATGCAGAAAATCACTGCACATTCGAGATGGCAAGTCTTCAGAGGGGAAAGCACAGAGCCAGACGATCTGTTGTTTACTGCTCGAAACGTCCTCAATGTTCCAACTCAAGACCAAGTTACACGTGTTCCTAGCCGGCAACAAATCCGAAAGCGCCTGCGACTATCGGGTCAAAGGAAGCTGGACAGACTGGTCTTGCTCGATCTACATCGGAGACAGTAACAACATAATTGCCCAGGTGTGTTATTCTTTTGCCCTAATTTCGGGGAATACTCAGATGGCGGATTCAATGATAGCTCATAAGCATTATCATCTGTCATTTAGACACGAATAAGCAGCTTTAGATACAGATTGTTCATCGTTCCATTTCTGTATCTTCGATTCCGACGGACCAAACAGGACCACAAAGCGAATTAGCTTAACTGCTTTGGCGATCTTTGACGAAGCAGCTAGTCAGCACAAAGAAGAGAAAAGCACGGTTGATCATCGAACTGAACCTAACTATCGGCGGTGTTACGGTGTCATATGGCTATGCAGATGCACAAGAAGCAGACGATTCAAAGCATGGCAATCGGAAGGGACATCTACACAGTGACTGTCTATCCCAACATCGACCATGCTTTTATAACCGTACTCGTAGTGATTCTTAATGAGATCAATCGTGACAAGAAAGACGAGTAACCGTGACAAGAAAGGACGGAAGAGTACTCGCTGCGAGGAAAGGAAGAGGCGACGTTTGGTCACTTACCTAGTTCGTGCCATGTTCCTTTAAAATCCTGCACTTTACAATACGTGATTTAGGGGGAAAAAAAGCTCTGCGCTTTTCCTTCAAAATAAATGCCACAGCTTTTTAATAATTCTCCCTCCATCTTTGAGATGCTGTAACTTTGATAAAGGCATTACTAAATACTAGGATGAGCAAAATAACCGGTGACCCAAAAACCCATATAGGCCAGAGTTTTTCTAGCCTTATAGGTCCGGGCTGGGCCACCAGGCCTACAATAAAGTTTTATTTCGGGCCGGGTTTCAAAGAGTATATTTAATACATTACAAATATATCTCTTCTTAATAATGTATATTTCCTTTGATTATTTATAATCGCAATTGATTAAAATTAATCCTACAGATTAGGATAGGACAGTATGGATATTGCGTTACCTTAGATAGTCCCTTGCTACAGTCTATAAACACTAAGAGTAAGCAAAAGAACCGAACCGAGACCACACCGAACCGGTCAATTTTGGGCAATTCTGGATTCCTAAAAATTGGAACCGGTGAATATCGGTCTAGTTTCAGGTGTGGATCCACTCACCCAGACCACTCGGACCAGACCGATATATAAATTTTAATTCTTATTATTACAATACTAAAAACACTAATTACTAATTGCCCATTCTTCACGGTTCACTATCAATCTCGCTGAAAAGTGAAAATCCTAATTGTCCCTTTCTTCACTCACGCCTCTCTCTCGCTCACGATGCTCACTCTTAGACTCTCAATCATGCCTCTCGCTCACGACGGTGATGCTCACTCTTAGTCTGACGAGTCACGCCTCCCTCCTCATTGTCCTCAGCCCCTCTTGCTCGCGACTCAACACCACCCTTTGTCTCTCTCGCTCGACGTCTCCCTCTCGCTCACGGCTCGACGCCACCCTTTGTCCATCACTCCCTCTCCTGTAAGTCCTCAGTCCCTCTCCGGTCCGACACAAAAATACCTAGTTAGAGTGGTCTACATGAGGAATTGCACTGTGAGAAGGTCCATTATGTTTCTTGGTTTGGAGAGCCGATTACGAATATTTTGCTTTGATTTTATCTATTAGTGCTGTGATGGGACAAAATTGATAATTATATGAGGTCCCTGCGCTCAAATTTGCGGCTAAAGCATCAACGACTAATTTCTGAACCCACTCGGGAACTGGACCGGACCGGTTGGTCCGGTTCCCATGTTGGCCAATTCTCGATTTCACAAATTGGGAACTGGCGCTTCCGGTTCAGTTCTCGATTTTAAGGTAGGAACCGGCCCACCCTAGAACCAGTTGCCCTAATGATACCTATGCACATGCTACGGAATATACAAAATTATGTAGTTCTATTTTTGTCTACTTTGCCAATTACAAAAAAGTACTTTTTCAAAAATATTTTTATTTTTATTAGTTTTTTGGTCAATTACAATATTTGTACTAAAGGACGCCCTTTTTGGCAAACAGTAAACAAGATAATTATATAACTTCGTAGCTTTAATTGTTCAAGGAAATTCTACAAATAGTAAAATGTTGCTCGATAATCCTAAACCGCACAATGTTTTCCCACACACTATTAATTCTTATTTATAACATTCAATTTCGGGATGTGCACTAAAAGTTCTAAAACTTGTCGCGAAAGTGCAGTTGAATCCTAAAATTTACAAAAAGTGCAATCAAATCTTAAAACTTCTCAAATTGGTGCAATCGAGCTCTTTCGTTAACTCCGTCCAAATTAGCTAATGAAAAATGCTGACATGGCTTATTTTAATATTTTCTCTCCCCCACTAAGCGATGACGTGGCTAAATAATGAAACATAAGACTACAATAATGTCGTTTTGGTTCAAACCTGATTTTTATACAAATTTTATTTAAATTAAATTTAAAAAATAAGCTAAATTATTTTTTTTAAAGGAGAAACTTGGCGGTGCCCTCGTCGCTGCTGCCCTGCCCTCACGGACCGCAAGCAAAGGCCGCCGTTGGCATGCAAGCCTTTGCCTGCGGTCGATGAGGGTCCCCGATGACTCCCGCCAGCCATCTCCCACCCTTAGCAGCCTTCCCGGCGAGGGCTACAGCTCTCACTGCTTGGTTTCTCCCCTTTTTAAAATTTAATTTAAATAAAATTTATATTAAAAATCATATTTAAACAAAAACGACGTCGTTTTTGCCATCTGATCGCCATGCAGGATAGAGAAAAAAAAAAGATACGTCGTCATTTTCAGTTAGCTAAATTGGACGTAGTTAATGAAAGGACTCGATTGAACAAATCTGATAAGTTTTAGAACTTAATTACACTTTTTGCAAGTTTTAAGACTCAATTACACTTTCATGATAAATTTTAGAACTTTCAGTGCACATATCCATTCAATTTCTAATTAAAGTTAAAGATCTACCTATCGTTTATGCATTTAAATTCACCTGACAAGTTTCATCTTTCATCTGCACGCACCAACGCATTACCAATAGCCTAAAAGACTCGGTGGCAAAAAACCAGCATGCAAAGTCAACTTCCCTGATTCGACCCAAAAAAAAAAAAAGTCAACTTCCCTGTCGCTCTTAAACAGTTGAGTTTGTTACAATTGACCAAGACTTAGGCACGGCAAGTCTTAACATAACCTTTTTCCCAGTGAATTTGATATTCCCAACAACGTTAGATTAAGTTAGTTATGTTGATAGTCGATGCCGCTCTTAAACAATTGAGTTTGTTACAATTTACCAAGACTTAGGCACAACAAGGCTTAACATAACCTTTTCCCAGTGAATTTGATATTCCCAACAACGTTAGATTAAATTAGTTCTCTAGATAGTCGATTTCTACAAGTTTCCACGGAGAGAGAGTAGTGTGATTGCTCTCAATGGTACAATCAAGTGGTATGATGCAATTTGCTTCCCAGACTGTAAGAATATATATTTTGACAATAAATCACGCTTTTATCTGATACCGTTTGTTGGGAGCCCGCGTCAAAAGCTCGATGCCTTTGCCAGGGGAGATTGTTAATAAGGAGCCCAAGTCCGAGCCATCAACATATGTAATTAGATCCACATTCACTCAAAAGTCTAAACTTTTATAACAGCTGGCAGTGGTTCGACATAATTTCACATAGTATCAGAGCATAAGGCTATCAGTTCAAATCTTTCAAGGCCCCATTTGTCTCTCTAATTAAATATATTCACGCTTAGTTTTGGGCAAAAAAATCAGACTAAGCATGAGGGAAAGCGTTAGAATATTTAAATAATAAACCGCGCTTTCATCTAATAACTTAAATTTTTAGAACAATTGACAGTAGTCCCATAAAATCTCACACGGACCCTAAAATGTAGTTGTGTATCATTACCGATAAAGATACTCCATAGTGCTTCAATATGAAATTCGTATTGTGACAATTGACCAAGACTTAGGCAGAGCCAGAACAGAGCCAGACAGAACCACACCTGTAACCCACGTTCATTCCGCAACTAGCTTATTGACATAACGTAACAATTGACCGAGACTTGCGTAGATAACCTTTTTCCAATATATCTATCCCAAAACGTTAAACTAAGTTGCTTTCCAGACTGACACTTTCTGCCATTAGGTGTCATTATATATAGAAGACGCCCTAATATGGAAACCCGTAGGTCCTCCCACCCCCCCTACACACACACACACACACACACACACACACATACACACAGCTCAAATGGCAGAACCAGCAGGTACAATGCAATCTGCTCCACAACCCGTTGTGGGGCTTCCCTATTGTTGCCCTAACCCGGTGGATGTGGCCATTGTGAGGAAGGTGATGACCCTAAGCGATGGCAACCCCGTGGTCACCGACAACAATGGCAACCTCATTTTCAAAGTGAAGGGAGCTTTACTCACCCTACATGACCGTAAGGTCTTGAGCGATGCCTCCGGGCAGCCGATCCTCACTTTCAGGAAAAAGGTTTGCTCTTTAATGTAACTCTACACAAGTAATGGGTGTTCATAGTGAATTCTTTAATACTCGGGAACAAATGTAACCATCAGTTCTAGAATTAGATATCTACAGTTGCTTTGCATTGGTTCTAGAGCTAGACACCCAGTTATTCTTTTTTCTGTATTTGTATACCTAACACCGTCGCATGGTCGTTACACACACACACACACACAAACAGAAATATAGCATGAATAGGACACAGATATGTACAAAACACAGTACAGAAAACGAGAAATTGGAGTGAGTGAATAGTTATTGAGAGTGTGAGAAACAGTGAAGAAGGCGGTAACTGTTTACGCCTTAAAGACGAGTGAGGACCTATTAACTAGGCAAGTACATGAACCAAAGAAACTGAAGTTCGACGAATTGATTAAGTGAAATGAAGGTTCAACAGCGATCCATTTGCAGACTATATAACATGCAGAATCCGCATGAAAAAGATGTTTTGTTATCAAGAGGCTTAGGTTAAGATGATTGATGCAGATAATAACTGCTCATAGTCGATGGCAAGCATTCAGAGGGGAGAGCTCGGACATGAGAGACCTCGTTTTCACGGCCAAAACGAGTTCAGTGATCCGACTCAAGACCCAGTTAGACGTTTTTCTAGCAAATAACAGGAATGAGGATGTCAGCGACTTCAAGGTCAAGTGTAGCTGGTTTGATCGGTCTTGTGTCATCTACGCTGGAGGATCTTCTAATATTGTCGCCCAGGTAAGGAATAGACTTGAAATCTGACTTGAAAATCATGAACATATCATAAAGTCTGATTGATCAAGATGGTGCAGATGCATAAGAAGACGAGCATTCAAAGTTTGTTGCTGGGAAAGGACAAGTTTATGGTCACGATCTACCCAAACATTGACTATGCATTCATCGTCGCGCTCATCGTGATCCTCGAAGAAATAAAGCCCTTGATTGGAAGAGTTTATGCGCTTATGTAATTTTCAGTGTAATTGCTAACTAGTCCTACGTTGTCAACTGAATTGGAAGAGTTTATGCGCTTATGTAATTTTCAGTGTAATTGCTCGTTCTTACTTCCGTTTGCATGTTCGTACATATTCCTAGTTTACATTTCTATGTATTTTCGTTAAAGAACAATCCTGCATCTTAAGTGTACTTCGTCAAGCATTTTCGGAAAATGTCAAATGGCACCCTCATATTTTATCTCCATTTTACTCTGCATCATCTATTTTTGAACACATAATTGAATTCTTGAAATAAGACGATGAACAAATACTCTTCACCAAAAAAAAATATCAATCCTTCTCCTTCTTTACCACCACCTTCTCTAACAAAGGTACAACATTCCGACGTATTTAGAACAGTGACCACATGAAAGAGAGTGACTCAACAGATGATTGTGGCCGGGATAAAAGAGAAGTTATTGTATGGTCTATGCAATATTCTTTCCATAGTAATTGTTGGTGGCGGTCGTGGTTGCGCTACCGGTGATAAAAGTGGCTATAAGCGGGTGGATGGTTCGATTATGAGTAATAATTTATACTCGGTGATATGAAATTTGTATCATGCATCCTACGTTTTATTATTGACAAAACTTCTAAACTAATAGAAAAGTATTCATTCTTTTTCAGTAAAACGAATTACAAACATGGTAAAAATTCCAATGATTATGAAACCTATATAGTACCGATATGGGATAGTAAAGTACTTGAGTTTTTTATCTCGTGTATACTTCTCGGTCACATAATAATCATGTGACATGTCAATACAAAAATTGGATGGTACCACATTAAATTTATACAAATAAGCATAATTTTTTCCTTAATTCTGATCATTTAGTAGGAAGTAATAACAAAACTCAACTACTAGGTTAGTGTCATTTTTTGCATTTCTTTTAACTAATATGGTCATTGATAGACAATCTCTGATGAAACATACTTCAAGTAAACTTAATAACTTATGATATAAGTCTTTTTTCGGTCCTGTCACAACTGCGTTGATTTTCCCTACTTATATTTCTGTAAGAAGTGACAACGTATAGACCAGTCGCATGTAGTAAAGTGACATTTCCGTGATTTTGCCTAAATTATATTACAAACAAGAAAAACTTACATATTATAATAGAAGTTTTTGTATTACAAGACTTTATATAAATATTGTATACGATAATGAATTTTGTTGCTCATATACTACTATATTTTTTCTGTTAAGATAAGTCAAAATAACCATATTTTGGTCATATAAATGATTCTTTATATGCTGCATTTTTATTTGACTAAAGAAAGTACATGAAATAAGCTGGAAAATTTGTTCAAAAAGTCCTCAATTTATTGCACTATTGCCAATTTAGTCTTAAACCTTTTAATTATGTCGATTGAGTCATAAACCTTTTCACTTATTACCAATTGAGTCCATTCGACCAATTTTGACCGGAAATCACTGACGTAGATGCCAATTTTCCTTCATGGCGCAGTCGGCACTGACGTTGACATTTTTAATAATATTTTAATTATTTTAAAAAAAAATTCTTGTTTTTTTTATTATGCCAATCAAGGGTCGCCAGGCCCTCACCGGCCACTTAGCGAGGGTTGTTGAGCCCTTGCCGACCGCAAGCAAGGGCAGCCTCGCCCAAATCTAGGCAAGCCAGCCTCGCTTGCGATCGCGATGGTTGGGGCGAGGGCCACAATGCCCTTGTTGGCCATAGGATGGACATCAAACGAATTCCATGACTAGGGTTGAGCTGAGCGTACTTAGTACTAAACTCCTCGTCCTCAGGGGAAGCCTCGATGACTTGGCTAAACTCCTTAAAGGTCTCAAGAGTTTCTTCGATGGGTTTTAGCTTCACCACCATCATTATGACTGCGCTCGCTCCACTCAGTTTACTTCTAAACAGAGGATTACGACGTCGATTGAGAGAGAGAGGAGAGTTCAAAAGAGCGCAACCTCGACTCTAGTCCAGATCTGGCTCACCTAGGGTCGTGACCCCAAGCGAACATTATACTGGTGTCCCTCCAGCTGCTCCGACAATTCCGGCCACTTCCTCCTCCAATCCCAAATATGCAAATTGAGCGTCGGCCGACCCAGGCGATTGCTACATAAGCCGCCCAACGCGAGCATTGGCGAAGCAATGAGAACTACCATAGACTTGGCAAGGAGGAAACGATGAATAGTTCCAAGGGGTAAAAGAGAAATACGAAAACTTAAAAAGGGCCACGGTGCCCTCACTCGTAGCCGGCGAGGTTGGCCTCGCCCAGACCATTGCGGCCGCAGGCAAGGCTGCCTTACCCAGACCTACGTGAGGGCTGCAACCTTCGCCCACGGCCGGCAAGGGCCCGATGGCCCTCGTCAACATAGTTAAAAAAAAAAAAAAGAAAAGAAAAGATGGAGAAGAGAAGAAAAGGAAAAAAGGAAAAAGACGATAAAAAATCGAAAAAATATTAAAATATTATTATAAATATCCACGACAGAATTGACCATGCTGCCGTCCTAGGTTGTGCCACGTAGAATGGCCGACGCAGGATGATCGGCTTCCATGTCAGCAACTTCTGGACAAATAAATTGGCTGGATGAACTCAACTGGCAAAACATAAAAATGTTTATAACTCAATTAGTACAATTAAAAGTTTATGGCTTCCATGTCAGCAACTTCAGGACAAAATTGGCTGGATGAACTCAACTGGCAAAACATAAAAATGTTTATAACTCAATTAGTACAATTAAAAAGTTTAGGACTGAATTGACAAAAATACACTAGGCTATGACTTTTAGGACAATTTTCCTAGCTGAATAGTTATGTCGTGCTCGAGGATATTGCGCGGTAGATTAATGTAGGTGATTCTAATGTCTTAAGACTTGCGCATTTTCTCGAACTGATTTTTGATTTTGTGTTTGTTTCTTTTTTCTCTTGCTCGATAAGCATTAGAATGCTGTGTAAGAACTAGCTAAGAAACATCCAATGAACTAGCTGAACAAGAAAGCATGATTTTAATAATGGATTCTACAAGTATTTGCTTTTTGGATTGCACTGCCTTTCTCATTAAAGAGTAGACGCGTAAAAGATTCAAATGTTTTCTTCAGGTTAGTTGTACTTCTCAAAACGTCAAGTTGGGGATTACCATTTTAATTATATGGAATGTGTTTGTGTCGCTGCAATCTCATAAGGTGGTACGCTATTCCTCTTACTTGTAAGCCTCGGCAATGCTTTGCATCCTTTCATGTCCTTAAGGTGTGTCTGTACTTTGTTTGATAACTGCAATTTCCTTAGATGTGATGGCGTCCGAGCCACAGCCCTTTGCATTAGGTTCTTTGAGTTTTCTTTTCTTCTTTTGTTGAAACAATGTAACTAATTTAATCACTTAATGTTGACAACAACAGACTAACCACTAAAGAAGACAGTGCTTTTATTCATGTAGATTTCTCGTGGACCGCTAGTGCTGCTGGAATGCAGCTGCCGCCGGGGGCGATCTGCCTCCTAAAATAGGCGGATAGTTCTATTGATATCTTTATAAATTCTTTATCTGACTCTGTTTAACTTGGACAATGTTCTTTTGTTACATGCGGGTTCGCTTGTTTGAGTTTGAAAACTCAATTCTTTATGGACCTAGGCTCGAGTGTCAGGGCATCGAGCACGGGCACCAGGGGTTCGGGCCCAACCTCGATGGACTCGTGCGTGGGCGTCGGGGGCTTGGGGCCGGGCACTGGGGTCCCAGGCCCGGCTACTGGAGACTTGAGAACCAAGGTTGGGGGTTTTCGTGCCCAAATATAGAATTTCGGGTCCAACTATCAATACCTAGTCATATTTTGAAAAATGATTTCTGGTTTTTCACAGAGAAAATCATTTTCTTGAATTTAAATATAAGTTTTACGTTGACTACATTTCTCATTGGCTTATTTTATTAAGCGAACCAAACCAAACATCAGAAAATATTTTTCAGAAAAATGTTTTTCATAAAATAAATAGAGCCTTACTGACGAAAAGTCGCCGCTAATACACATCTTTAGGGTCAGACACTGTAGCCGTCCTTAAGAGGCTCAATAATGGGCTTGACATAGCAGTTGCCACTTCTCTTTAGCAGAGCACGTTAGGCAACGACGGGACGGCAAAGGGCGGATCATGGACTTTTAGGGACGATTTTGCCTGTCACCTTTGTCCTTCTTTATTAATAATGGAAAGCAAGTAGATAGTCTTTAATATTTGACAGCAATTATAGTTTTACGTACTACGGAAGGAATTATCTTGTTAATGCCATTTTGCTTTTTTTTGAAAAGCATATTTGTAGGCGATAACATAATTCTTTATGTGGAAAACTTTGAATTGAAGAATCTTAGATCTTCATGACTTTTTACACTAAGAGGTATGAAAATATACGTTTTATACTTTACCAAAAAAAAAACATACGTTTTATGCATAGCAATAACTTTGAAAATGATTGTTGCAAAAATAGGAGAAATGAAGATATCCGATTTCTCTCCCTCTGAACTCATTTTCTGTCTTAACGTATCTTATTTAATGGAGGATAAAATACAACATTTCATTGTCTTGGGTGGAGAAAGGAGCGGGCTCTATTTATACAGGCTATCAATAGGTGCCTTCATTAATCCATTAAATAGGTACCTTTCATCAAAGCACGTTCTATCTTTATAAGAATAGTATATTTTCATAATAGCTATTACTTCTCATAAGAATTGCACTTCTTCATAATAGTTGCATCTCTTCGGATGAACGGTAACTTCTCATAAGAATTGCACTTCTTCATAATAGTTGCATCTCTTCGTATGAACGGTAACTTCTCATAAGAACTGCACATTTTCGTAAGAGTTGTATCTCTTCATAGCCAATACGTTTTAGCACTTAAATAGTTATTAAACCATAATTAATAATATCATGTGGGCCACAATTATTATTACAATATTCTGATTATTGGACACCATAATGATGTGAATGAGACGGTTCATCTTGTCCTCGAAGTGGAGGAAAGCA